GACCTGGAGAAGATTATGCTAAGCAAAATAAGCCAGGCAGAGAAAGACAAACATCACATGATCTCACTTATATGTAGAATCTAAAGAACATCATAATAAACTGATAAACAAAACAGATTCAGTGACATGGAAGCTTGGATCAGAGTGATGAATCTCAGAGGGAAGGTGGGGGTGGGTGGCTGGGTGGGGAGAGATTAACCAAAGAATCTATATGCATATATGCACAACTCAAGGACACAGACAATAGTGTGGTGAGGGACTGGGGAAGGGAGTGGGTGAGGGTAGAAGGAGTCAATGTGGAGAAAAGGGGACATCTGTAATATTTTGAACAATAAAAATAAATAAAATTAAAAAATTAAAAAAAAAGTGTTCTCTATTTTCCATTCTTTGCAAACAAATGAACTTAAAACCTAGAGAGTAGTCAAGAAACAAATCAGCATCTCTCGTTATACTCTCGACAGGTTCTGAAATAAGGCAGAAGAAATCCTATTCCAATTTGTTTGATTGGAAGTTTCCAAACAACCATATATTGCTATACAAATGCAAGGTGCTCTTTAGCTAGACACACTGGCATTTTCTCTGACAGGCAACAAGGTATAAGAGGTGAGAGTGTTGAGCAGTTGGGGGAACCAGAGTTTTAAGCAGAGAGTTTCTACTTTAAGACTCCCCTCTGACCTGAAGAGCTAATGACTCAGCTATGACTTGTTCTTTTAATAAAAAATGAAAAATTACACATACCTGCTAGAAACCAGATTGTAAGGTTGATGATGCTATCTAAAGACAAGACAGGTATTCTAAAAATCGTCAGTGAATCTACAGTATAGATTCTGGCTCAATGTCTTTGTGATTACTTCCTAATTGCAGGAATGTTGGAGAAGGCTCCAGCGTAGACCTAAGCTCTTCTCTGGTTGGTAAAGTGGAATATTCATCTTAGAGAGGGATCTGACATGGCACACATCATTTGCCCTAGCGTCAATCCAGGGAGGACACAGATAAGATGTGGTGGGGACAGACCTTCTCCCCTAAACACTCCAACTCTGTCTATCCAAGGCATTACTGTATCACATCTGAGAACACGTGTTATACTATACAGATAGATATTAAACCGGTAATGATAAACATCACTTGTGCAAAATTCTGGGAATTCACAAGCTGAAAATGGGCCGGGGGGCGGGGAGTGAGCTTACCTCTTATCACTTATTTGTATTCTAGTCCAGTACAGAGGCTTCATGGGACAACTGGGCTCAATGGCTGGCTTTCGAGGACATTGGCTAGAAGAAGGGCCGACTCCGAAGAAGAGGCCAGGAGGAGGTGGGGGCACAAGTCCTGGGGGTGCTGGAGCAGGAGGAGGCCCCCCACCGCTGGGCAGAGCAGGTGGGGGGGGAGGTCCAGCACTTGGAGGCAGAGGAGGTGGCGGAGGTGGTGGTGGCCCAGAGCTCACAGGTGGCGGCGGAGGTGCTGGTGACAGAGGTCCAAGTCCAGGTGGGAGGGGCGGAGGGGGAGGGATGGCTGCTGGGAGGGGTGGCGCTGGGGGGAGAGGAGACGGCTTCTCCTGGCCAGGTGACATGCCTTCCACAGACGGAGGCGGTGCATGGATGTCTTTGTTGTCATTTGGGGGAGAGAGTTGGCTTAAAGAGGAGATATTCAGCTTTTTGGGTATTATTTGGTTGCTTCTGGTTGTCTTGCCTTCACCTTCGCAGGGTTTGAGGAAAGTCTCTCTGTCTGTCTGGATGCACACGTTTCTGTAGGTCTTTGGAGGGCAGTTGTCATCGGTGGAGATGCACACATCTCGCATCTCTTCACAGCCTCCCCGCCATCGGTGCTCTATCTCGTGCTTGAGATTTTCGATGGTTTCTTCTAGTCTCGCTGTTATTACTGCATGCTCACCCCGCATGTGAAAGGCCTGAAGTTCAAACTGAGCCTGGAGAGATATCAGTGGGAAAGAAGGAAAAGCGTTTAGGAAAACAGGTATCAGAAATAAAAAATTCAATACCCGCCCGTGCCACCCTGGCACATCTCACATAGACGCAGGGAAATACAGAGGCGTCCTTTTGACAATCCAACAGGGTGTAAATTTCACTTTATGAATTTTCCAAGGACTTAAACAGTTGGAGTAGAGGCAGAATTTCATCCAGTATGAACTCATGGGGAATGATTACCATGGATTAAGGCTTAAAGTAAAACTGTCATCTAAGAACATTCACCCGGTTTTAATATCAAATGCAAGACAAAATTTTTAATAAAGGTATGAACATGTTTGACTTTATCTTTTATTACTTTGGATTTGGTTTGGAAGAACAAAATTTTAAGAAAAAATTAGATTTGGAGATCTTTCTGGCTTGGAGCTGCTGCTCTCAGTCTTCCTTATAATGTCTCCTCTATAGGGTTTCCCGGCAATACAGCAGAAACAAAAGTAGTAATAAGAAGCTATGATCTACCTGTATTTTCTTAAAAAGTTTCCACACCAAAGCTGCCCATAAGTATTAGTACCTTTCATAATTATTCACAATCTAGTAATAAATAATATAAATGAATAGAAAATGGGAATATCAAGATTTGCTATTTTTCTCTTCTGCATACCCAGCATTTTAAGCTATATTTTTTGACAGTCTTTTTAATACTTATATTTTCAGTTAATGCCTTGAGTCTATGGTTTTATACTTATCAGCACAGACCTGGCATACTCCCAGTATTAACTAGTCCAATTCCAGTTAGCCTATTACAGTTAACTGGGAAGCAGTCAAATTTACAATTTTATTAGTTTCCAAAATCCAATGAACAGTAATTAAATACTCCCAGTGAATTTATTTAATTTCCGCCTACCCTATCAGATTGTAAACTTCACAAGATGAAATCAGGGACAGTATCTGCCTTAATTTCTATACTCCAGCAGCCAGTTCAGCAGGTACATAGTCACTGTCCCAAGAGCCTTCCTGATGGCTAATAAAACTTTTCTTCACTATCCTTTCAGCCCACAAGTATCTAGAACAGCAAAGTGTATACAAGTGCAGATCCATTTTGCATTGAAAGGTGAAGAAATATTTTTAACAGCCTAGTTAGGAAAGGTAAAGAAGACATAGGAAAGTTTTCTACTTTCTTTTTTTTTTTGAATCCTCACCTGAGGATATTTTATCCATTACTTTTTAGAGAGAGTGGAAGGGTGAGAGAGAGAGAGAGAGAAACATCAATGTGAGAGAGACACATCATCTACTGGCTGCCGCCCGCACGTGCCCCAACCGGGGCCAGGGATCGAGCCTGCAACCGAGGTACATGCCCTTGGCCAGAATCAGGCCCGGGGCTCTTCAGTCCGCTGATGCTCTAACCACTGAGCAAACTGGCTAGGGCAGATTTTCTACTTTCATTAAAACACTTTTAGTTATGGTTTTGCTAGGTTCACCTTTTCCTCCATGAATCAACCCCCTAACAACTATGGTCAGGAGAATGAGAGACAAGAGTTTTCTAAAGCTGACTTTCTCACATGTGTAAACAGCAGCCTCAATCCAACTTGGAAAGAATTAGCGAGTCCGGGGCACCCTCTATTTCTGGTCTACCACAGAGGGTTTAGCGCCTGAGTTCTAGATTCATGCTACCTGGTTCACAGCCTGGCTTAGCCACTTGCTAGCTCTATGATCTGGAGCAGGAAACTTTGTGTTTTTAAGCCTCGGTTTCCTCAAGTGTAAAGCGAGGGTAATAGTGAACCATCTCTAGAGTTTTTATAAAGATAAAAGGAGATACTTCCAGTAAAGCAGTAGGCATTATACCTGAAACACAGCAAGTTCTGAATAAATGTTACTGTTACTGTTGCTCCTGACAATATTACAGTAAGAGACGAACAGATCTCTAATTCTTTAAAACTTCCAAATCATGCCACCTTTATGGAGCGATGGGCACAAAACTAGGAAACACTTAAGCAGTCAGGATAAACAATGTACTACAAATACAAACGTTTAGCTGAACTTTCATGAGTTTTACTATCAAATGCCTGGAAGTAATTTCAAGCTTCACTCAACTATGTGATCAAGATAACCCTTGTTTCAACATCCTACCCATCTCCCTCCCTTCTCCCTCCCCTGCGCACCTCCACCCGTAACCCAGGCCTGATTCCCACCCTGAATTACTTGCCACCATTTCATGTTAGTGACTAGTTCAGTTCTGCCACAGCAAACTAACTGTTGGTTGTTATCCCCAACTAACTTCACTCCAACGAGGTTAAGTGTGAAATAATATTGATGAGCCAATAATTTTACTCTATCATCAACTTCTTAATAATATGGAAAAGTTATAAAGACATGCTCTGCAGAGAAACTTTACTTTATCGCACAGCTGACCTGTAACTACACCAAAAGCCCTGGTCCCCACCTCTTCCGCTTTCCATCCATCCAACAACCTTCTGAACCCACTGAAGCTGAGCTATACACCTAAGTGTTGCTGGCTCTGTACTGCATTTGCTTAGTGAAGAGGTAGAACACAAACTGAGCAGGTTATTTTAGCTCTCTGTACCTCAGTTTTCTCATAAGTAAAATAGGGATGCTAACAGAGTTCACCTCGCAAGGCAGTTATGAGAAGCAGATGAGTTAATATACATCAAACAGCATATAGAGGAGTGCTTGGAACAGAGTAGGTGCTATGTAAGCTTGCTATCATTATTGGCTCCTTGCTACGGGACAGATCAAGGCCCATGGCCATATCAACTTTCTTTTGACTCTTAGCACGCTTCCCAGCACCATGTTCTATACATATAAAGCAAAAATAAAGAGATAAAAGCCCTTCTTTAATCCCTTCTAGATGCCACCCTTCCTTTCTCACCCTACCCCTTCCCAGTCATGGCAGAGGTTTTTGGGAAAAAGGCCCAGAATTCTTGCTTTATCTGTTTTGTCATCCATTCTTCTTTCAACCGATTACAGTTGGCTCCTGCACCCACTGTCCTATTGAAACCGCACGGCTTGAGTGCTGCATTCGGTCCGCACTTTCAGCAGCTCTGCCCCCTGGCTGCGCTGTTGAAGCTGACTGTTGCCGGTGCCTTGAGACTCCCTCTGAGTCCCTGCGCTTCTGATACATCCTCCCCCCGCCTTTCCTCCCACTGCTGAGCTCTCTCCAGTCGACCTGTGGGCCCCCTTCCTCCACGCATCCCTTACATGCTGTTGGCCAGGCACCCTCTTGCCACTTTACCTTTCTCAAGCTACACAATCCCTCTGGGTCATCTTGTGTACTCACATGAAACGACATTCACTTAACATAAACTGTAACTTCCAAATTGCCACCTTCAAACTGTAATCCTCTGGACGGTCTACCTGCATATGGAATCAGCCATCTCAGACCGAACGGGTCTGAAAACTAAGTCATCATTGCCAAGCCTCGTCACTGCCTCCTCGGAAACCCCTCCTTGCAGCTGGTGGCACCACCCTCCTAATCGCCACATCCAGATGCCATGCTGAGCTCCTGTTCCCTCTCATTCCCAACGTGTCACTTATGAATGAGTTACATTAATTTCTCCAATTCATCCCTTTCGGTCCATCCCCACTGCCTCGGCTTTTCATTGGGCAATGACAAGAGCCACCTAACTCATTTCTCCCATCCCAGTTTGGCCATATTAGTTCTAGGAGGATTTAAAAAAAAAGTAGATCTTTACTCCTTGAAATCCTTTCAATAATTGGCTATGACTCACAGACTGACACTGAAAATCGTTTAGCATGAACACACTGAAAGCTCTTCCAATGCATTTTCTGCCAACTTTCTCCGCTTTGGGCTCCTGCCCCTTCCCTATGTATGTCCTGGACTCCTGTCTCACATAACATCTTGCCTCTCTCAGGACCTCTGAGTTTTTGCAAATGGTGTCCTCTGTCAGTACCTCTCTGCCACAAACACCCAAGGTAAGGGGAGAGACTACCAAGCACAGATTCCACCAATGGCTTCCTTACAAACTGTATTCACTGATAGGAAGAATCACCAAATACGAAGGAATTACTGAATTTCCCTGTACTCCATATCAATATGCTGAGATTATAGTAAGAAACCCTTCTGACCATTAAAATTTAAATGGCCCACATAAAGGAACAACTTGCCTTTGCCCTTCCCTGCTTCAAAACCCCTTTGATCATTCTGATTTTGCCTTGGTTGTGTTCAGAAGCTCAGCATGACACAGTAATTCAAAGTGATTAAAGTAATAAGCACCTCATTCATTCTCTATCTGTCCATGTCCTATCAATTATTGCGCATTGTGCCTGGCTCTGCTACAAATGAAGAATCTCAAGTCCACGCACACCATGAATCGAGCCTTCGGGAACGCCAGTTTTTAACCCCATTTTTCACTCTACTTCCTGTTAAGTGCCACTTCTCCTTTGCACATGGAAACCATGTGCCGTTTCCCATCCTGTGTCTAGAGCCATCGCTAGAGGGACTGTTAATGATTTGGTGAATCAAACAGAGAGAGTAGAACTTTCTGTTGGGTAAGTGTGTACTGCTGGATAATGTTTGCCTGGGATCCTGGGAATCTTTATAAAATGTCAAGGCCAAGTTCTTACAGTCAAAATTACAGCCAAGGCTGGGTCAAGGGAACATAATGCTTTAAACCCTGTCGGCTGTCTTTTCAGTGCCCTCTGCTTTCATACTGAACATGGTGTTTGTACATGGGAGACAAACAACAACAAACCTTCCATTCAGTTTCATATAAATACTCTTTAGAGCATATAAAGCATTGTGGTTATCCCTCTCTCTGACCCTCACGGCTAAAAATCTGTTTTCCTGCATTCATCTCAATATATAATTTGAAAGGAGATAGGTGCTGAGGTTTGACATCTTCCTAGTCTTCCCCAGGTTTTATCTACCTTCCTTTATGCTTAACTTGATTGCTTCTATTTCTTTCATTTTTTTTTTATTACATCTTCTTCCCACCTGGAATAATCTATTAATCTATACTCATCTCCTTCTAAGCAAGATTCAAATTCACAATCTTTAAGAGAGCAATCCCAATTAAACCATTCTGTTTCAATTGTCATTTTCCTTCCTTGGCACTATTTTTATCTGTCTAATAAAGTAGTTCTCATTAAAAACACCTAGATGGCTTTGTAAAAAAAACACCACCAAAACCAAATACTGATGGGCAGGCCCATCCTCACGTATCATCATCGAATCGGCCTGAGACGGTGCCCCTGCACTGGCATCCTTAGAGCTCCCCGAGCAACCGTGATGGGCAGCCAGGGTTAAAACCAACAGTAACTGTTCTTAATCTTTATTGTGCTCCAGACACAGCTGAGAGAGTATAATACCAGAATATTGGTGGATTATTTTTGGCAATGACTTTTACTTGGGTCATTTCAGATTCTCCAAAGCAACATGTGGTATTTGAAAAAGCCGGTTCCTAATTCTGACATGTCCCCATAAGGGGAGAATGCCTCCATTACCAATACTGAGAATACTTCTCCAAAGCACATGAGCCTAAGTGCTTTGCATGGCTCTTCAAAACCTGCCCGCTGCTTACTCTTCCAGACATTTCTCTATATGTTCCCTATGTTGCACCATCGCAGATGCAAACATATGATCAACTCCCACATCTTTATGCTTTTGCGCATGCTCTTCCCCTACTTAAAACACCCTTTCTCTCTACTTCCACCTAGTGAAAGCCCTGAAGGACAATTCAGTCAATCTCAACTGAACCTTCTGGCTTAAACTTTTCTTAATTCTTCTTGTCAAATGTTTTCCTTTGACTCTGTTGCCAAAGAACTTTAGGTTCACATTACATTAGAGTCATTTATGTTTATCTTCTTTGCAAATCTAAAAGCTGCAGGCAGTTGGGGACCATGCCTTATTCGTGTCTGAACTTCCAGAACAGTGCACACTGCTTGGCTAGTTAGTGATCCACAGAAGCTTACTGGATGGAATTATTTCTTTAGCTTTCACTATTAAGAGTTTCTTTTGCCCTTATATTACCCACCAAACCAGACTCAAAGCTCCACAATATTTTAAAAAGAGACATGTGGTCCCCTTCCTCTTTGACAGCCCCGTGCACAGCATAAACTATGAGATGTGATAGCTGTTATTGCCTAGAAGATTCAGATAAAACATGCAGACTTTTAAAAAGTGCAGGTATTTGTAAAAGTTGACGTTGATCATATTTAATTTTAACAATTCAAAATACTTCATATAGATAAGTGTTCTCTCTACGGTAAACTTAAAGGCTGTTCTCATAAATATAATAAACTATCCAGGAGAATTGAACCATGTTTTATGATTCTAATCTGATTAGGAATTGGGCTCTAGGCAATTTCCCCAGTCTCCCTGAGGGCTGGTCCTCCCTTCCCCTACCAAATCCTCATTATTTTTTAATATCCTTCACATTACCACTGCTCTGAGATATCATCAAAGGAACACATTGTACTGAAACCCAAGCAATAGAGGGAGACTTTGCTTGTCTGGTCCCCACAAACTTGTCTGTCAAAAAGAAAAGCACCCACTGATGAAAGATACCACCATGGTGCCAAGCACTGTGAAAAAATCATCCATCAGCATTCTGTTGTTATGAACATTCTCTCCCAAGGGTGCTTCCAGGGCCAGTAAAGCTCAGGTTATCCGTTACACAACTTGAGTAAGTCAACCTTTTCCAGGTACTCTTCCAAATTCGACATTCTTAGGGTGGGAAAAGCAAGACAATTCCTGGGATTGCTCAGAAGTACAATGAAACTTCACTGCTTCAGAAAACAGTGTGAGCAGAGGGAAGGGAAGGAAAATGGGGCTTTAGAGCCTGAAACACCTCAAAGGGAAGGGATTTAGTTCTTATATACTTTGTAGGTAAGGCAAGAAGATGGCAGCTCTATGGCTTTGGATGTGGGCATCCTGGCTTTTCTGTTCTGCTTATAAAGGCTGCACAGACTTCAATAACTTCCTACTTAACTGGCACTTCCTACTGTAAAAACAAAAGTCTCTATTAATGAAAAGAATGGCATTGGGTTTGATGAAAATCCCACAGGTCAACAATAGCTGGTTTTAATTAACTGTGATCAATACATTTTTTTGTTCTTATCAGAAATAGATCACATTGTGTTATAACTAAGAGGCCACCTCAGGGACACTGGGAAACATGACACACCTGATACATCACTGTAATTGGAACTTGCCAGGAGGGATAAAGAAATAGAGAAACAGAACAGGAAAAAAATGGGTAAAGAGCACTCGAAAGATAAAACAGCGTTTGAGTTGACTCAGGAGTACAACGCAATCCGTGCAGTGCTCGAGAGTAACAGTTCAATTACAGATGTGTAAAAGCGCCCGCTGCTGATGAGCTGACAGTGAGAGGGGTGAAGCCTCAGGGAGGGAGTGTGCGGGTACTGTGCGGGGCGCCTTCCCCCAATCCTTGCAACTCTGTAAAGCAGACGTTCTGGACAATGTGTTAACTTGCATGAGACCCTAAGTTGTACAGTGAGAAAGGAATCTGAATCCTGATCAGGTATGAAAAGTCATGCTCTTTCCACTTTACCATTTTGAATTGATACCAATTGACAGTGGCTAAAATAACAATTCATAATTACTGATTAACAACATTATATACTACCTATGCCTTCAATGCATTTGTAAAATATTAATGCATATAATTATGGCAATAACCTCTAAGAAGGCTGGTGCTGTAGCTGTTGCCTAGATGAAAGAAGGCGCAGAGAAATGAATTAAACTGCCAGTGAGACAGACTCCAATTCAGACCCTTCACCCTAGTCTAGTGCTCTTTTCACCTTATCACAGATCCTCAGTAATTAGTAATCCTTCCCATTTAATGCTGTTCAGGAAGTCGGAACGCCAACACAAAAATAGAGATAGTTTCTAATTAAACATGCTTTCTTTAAAATATATGCCATCCATCCTTCTGGAACAGAACTGAAGTCATTACGTAAATAGATCTGAAGTTTTCTGGTTCCCAGTCAAGTGGGAGGGCAGAACTGCCTGAGGGTAGAAAGATCTGGATTCTGCTCTGTTATTCCAGTCATTAGCTACCTGCACTAAGCCAATTTTTTTTTCACTTCCTGTAATCCTCACTTTATTAATATCTAAAATGAGAGGTTTAAATACTTAACCACTAAGGTTTCGTCTAGTTATAAAATGCTATTCATACACCCAAGACTTCATCATATTTCTTTCTACCAAAACTTCCTAGAATACAGCTCTGCTCATGAAAGCTGCATAAGGATTTAAGCACAATGTTATCTAAGCCATATAAACAAAGAGCCCCAACTGCCATTATGAATGCAAAAGTACACACAGGGCCAGACAAACTCACTGAGGTGCTCTGAGAACACACCAGTAGCTCGGTATGTGGTACAGATGAAACTGTGAGTTATTTCTGAAACATGATAGTTATTACAATTATTCAGGAACATACTTCAAAAATAAACAAATATAATTATGGACAGTTATCCAAGGAAGTAGTGGGGAAATCAAACAAACAAACAACAAAAGTCTTTGGAATCTGGACAAGTGTTCCTACCTGGGACACAAAACAAAACATCACCGTAGCCTGAGTGCTTTTGTGCAATAAAAGGTAAAAAAAAATCACTATTCATAGGAGATTCTGGTAACAATTTATTTTTTAAGTTTTTAGTATCACTAAATATTGCGTAGGTCACAGAATGGGTATACCTGGGGATATCCATGGAAATGATTTTCAGACTTTATTTTTCCAAAAAGTAATTTGAAACCTAATGAGCAAACCCAAGACTGCACATTTCCAGGCAATGAGCCAACATACTAATTCCTTCTCTATTAGAGAAAGAACTTGGAATTTTATGTTGTATTATCCCTACTGAAGCTACAGGTAGTATAATGAGGTATATACAACCCACTCCAGAGTACATGTGAGCTTAGAAAAAATAGGTGGGCCCTAGCCAGTTTGGCTCTGTGGTTAGAGCATCAGCCTGAGGACTGGAAGGGTCTCAGGTTCGGTTCCAGACAAGGGCACGTGCCTCAATTTCAGGCTCAATCCCTGGCCCTGGTAGGGGTGAGTGTGGGAGGCAACCAATTGATGTGTTTCTCTCACATCGATGTTTCTCTCTCTCTTCCCCTTCCACTCTCTCTGAAAAGCAATGGAAAAAATATCCTCAGGTGAAGATTAAAAAAACAACAAAAAGCAATAGGTGGTAAATCCTGGTCTTTAAAACTGTGACAAACAGGCCCTTTAAATAATTACAGCAATCACTTTAATATTTCTTTCTAGACTCATGCATTTTTTTTAATTGCTTTATAGAGAGAGAGGAAGGAGAGAGAAAAAAACATTGGTCGGCTGCCTCTGGCACACCGTTACCAGGGATCGAGCCTTCAACCTGGGCATGTGCTCTGACCAGGAATCAATCCAGCAATCTTTCTATGCACCAGATGACATCCAACCAACTAAGCCACATTGGCCAGGGTTCAACTCATGCATTTCTATGAAGGGACACCACACTATGGCCAATACCCATCTGTCCAACTGTATCACTTTGGAATCTATGAAATGGATCCCTCAATTATATTTGCCTCACCTACTCCCAACTTTGTATTTTTTTAATTAAAAAGGGGTAGGAAATTAAAAATGGTATTAGGTCACTTACGTAGCATTGTCCAATAGGAACAAAAAGGGACCACTTGATGAGTTCTTTCTAGTATTAAAAGTAAAGATGAAACTTCTTCATAAGACTCCAGGATTGCTGATTAAAAAATAGTTTCCATATCTCTACCAATTTTATAGCCCTCTGGTAGCAAGAAGAGGCTCAGAAGAGTGATTGTAATAAATTTCCTACTTATGGGTTTACTCTTCATAGTGGTGTTGTATAAACCCAATAGGCAGTAAAGAAGTCTTCATTATTTCAAAGTGAGATGAGACTATGGTCTCTCCACCATCTACTATTCAAACAAGATGTAATGAGCATCTACAATACACCAGGTTTTGTGAAAAGAAAATTAAAGACAAGAGCTGTATGATTTTACTCATGTGAAATAAAAAACAATAAATGAACAAACAAAACAAACATACAAACAATAAAATCCAAAACCAACAGATACAGACAACAGAATGGTGGTTACTGGTGGGGAAGAGGGAGAGGGGAAGATGAAGAGGGTAAAGGGGGTCAAATACATGGTGATGGAAGGAGACTGAGCTTTGGGTGGCGAGCATACAATGGAGTACACAGATGTCGTGTTATAAAGTGCACACCTGAAATATACCTAATGTTATTAACCAATGCTATCCCAATAAATTTAATAAAAATCAGAAAAGAAACTAGGCCTGGCCAGGTAGCTTGACTGGAGCATCGTCCCAGTGCACCAGGGTTGTGGGCTTGATATTCAGTCAGGGTGCGTGTAGGAGTCAACCAATGAATGCATGGGTAGGTGGAAGGACTAATCAATCTCTCTCTTGAATCAATCAATAAAAATAAATAAATAAACCACCCATACTTTCAGAAGTTTACATTGTAGTTGGAAAAAGATAGTTGTGAGTTATTTCTAATTTTCAACACAGCTGGGTTATATGGGTTTTANCAATCAATAAAAATAAATAAATAAACCACCCATACTTTCAGAAGTTTACATTGTAGTTGAAAAAAGATAGTTGTGAGTTATTTCTAATTTTCAACACAGCTGGGTTATGTGGGTTTTATATNAGTTTACATTGTAGTTGGAAAAAGATAGTTGTGAGTTATTTCTAATTTTCAACACAGCTGGGTTATATGGGTTTTATATTATTATTATTATTATCATTATTATTATTATTATTATTACTCAGACATAACTTTTTCATTGATAACTGAAGAAAATCAAGGACGGTCAATTTATCTGGCAAACACATCCCAGGTTGTCTGTGTTGCTTTCCTTATGCAGTAATAAGACACTCCAGGCCCAAACACTCATGACTAACCTCCCTGAATATAGTCTCATGAGTAAGCAAGGAATATTTGGCTTCCTACCTTAACATTTGAACAAATGACCAATGACGTGTGCCTAGGCCACAACCACCTTCTCTTTGCCACTTTGAGCCTTCCCAGAGATTAGTCACTTGATAAATCTGCCATTGAATGGGTTTTAAATTATAGGGTAATCGACAGGGAAAACAAACAAAAGGGTTTATGTGTTTTTCATTAAGATCTGGGCTCTGGCTTAAGATGCCTCCTCTAGAGGAAGCTAGGAAGAGAAATGTCTTAAATATCCCAAAATTGCTCACCCCAGCCAAAAGGCGCACTCATTATACAAGACATAAGGTGAAATGCCAAAAAAAAAGGCTCACAAAATTGAGTATAGTCTTCGTTCTCTAAGTAACAAACCCAGGGAGAAATATTTTCTACTATAATTGGAGAGGCTGGGGCCAGTAATGGAAAAAACACTAAAATAGCGGTTAGAGTGCCTCGATTTAGTTCAGCATGAGACTGCTGTTTGACCTTAAATTTGCGTCTTATCTCTGGCTATTTTTTTCACCTGTAAAACAAACAGGTCAGAAAAAGATTAGGAGGCTTATACCAGGTTTCTAGAGATCCATGGAGGGGTCTCGGCAGTTCTGCAAACGCTTAGGTTTAATGTTATATTAAAAGGAGATTTAACTTTTAGTCCCAAAGTGTCTCAAGAAGTACCTATGTCATAAAGAGACACAAATGTCCAAATTCCCTGAGATAAA